TATATATATATATATATATATATATATACATATATATATACATATATATATACATGTATATATACATATATACATATATACACATATATATATAATACATATATAATATATATATAATATATTATATATATATATATATATATATATATATATATATATATATATATATATATATATATATATATATATATATATATATATATATATATATATATATATATAAAGGTGCGAAACAGATCCTGGTAGTATAACTTGAATAAAAGAAAAATTTAAATCTTTAAGCCATCAGGAAGTGTTAGGTGTACATTTTCATTTTTTTTCAAAATGTCTTATAATTAAATAATAACACAATCCGAAGAAAAAAAGTTTATCTTGGTTGAAAATATTTTTTGTTTGATTTAAGTGGAAAAAAAAATTACATTTAATCTAAAATACTTTTTGCTAAGGAGTTATATTGCTCAAATTACTCTTTTTTAATTCATCCACACTTTCTATTCTTTAGCAACCCCCATGATGTTTTGTCTCTGATTTTCATTATGACTATCTGCCAGAAAATCTTTCACAAGACAAATATTTTTATCATAACAGTCATTTGTGCACTGAATATTTGAAACAAAATCTTTAAAAAACTTGAAGCTGGAATGAGGATCTACAAATTTTCCATCAGAAATCCAAAACAATATATAAGATCAAGTACGAAAAAATTATGCCAGCTGTTTTTCCCAACAAACTCATGCAAACGAGTGTTTTTGTTAATGATTATATCATCTCTAATCTCAGGTTTCTTTATTTCAAAATATGAAATATCTGCAAGATGGGAATATTTAATAAGTTTCTGTACCATTAGGAATTTCTCTTCATTAGTTACACCTAGATCTGCTCGTGATAGAATAACAAAATCTTATTTTTAAGATCCCATTCATTACACAAATTACCATCGAAGTGAACTAATTGATTAAAACATTTTTATAACTATTTCTAATTTTTTTCCACTTTGTTTTTGATGGTATGAAATCTTTTTCTGTGGGTTCCTAATTTTGATAAAACAATATCTACCAAAATATGCCCAGCATGCTTTAGAATTGATGAAAGAATTGCTGTATGACACCTTACACCAAAAAGAAATTGTGTAGTGACTTCACTTGTTGCTTTTATAAATCCATCCCATGATATTAAAAGGTGCAGCTCATCAGATCCTTTTTTTCTTCTTGTTGACAGCACAGAGAAATTTTTAAATTATTCACTTATTAATTATTAAACATCAAAAAATGAATCATTAGATGAATTTTAACTCAAAATTTATTGATTGTGTATCAGTATCATGTCTCTGATACATGATTGAAAATCATGTATCAGAGACATGATTTTCAAATAAATTTTTATCCTCTATGAACATTTAGAATTTTTAGGCTAACTCATTCCTATTATGAATCGTGTCAATATCTTCAGTTATATACATTTTTCCAGTAAACTTTTGGTGGGTTAAAAACTCAATATTTTTTTAATGGCATCAGGTGATCTGTTGCTACCAGCTTTGGTTTTTATTACAATATTTTTGCAGCCCATGTCAAAAAGTTCATTTTAAGTTTTTTTTAGTCCGTTTAAAGAATCAAAAGAATTTCTTTTAAAGAGAAGTTCAATCTAAAAGACACAACACATTTACAACTTTAAAAAAGATTGACAGTTATAATTTAAAAAAAAAAATTAACTATTATAAACTTATTGAGAAAATTTTATATTTTAAGATCTATTAGCTTTCTCAATTTTTTGTTGAGCTTTATAATCTTATCTCTAATGGTTCAACTTTTCATAGAGAAGTCTTTTTAAAAACCCACTCTGCACCAGATACTTTATTACTTCTTTGACAAGATAATCTTTAATAGTTTTACACCAGGGAGTTAACATTTTAGTTGACACCCTCCTTTCTCCATGGAGCAACTAATATTTGATTTTGTAGACATACCTTAATTGCTTTGAGGAAATTTTTTTTTTTCAACATCTTTGCTTTGAACAAGGCTGCAAGCAACTGCTATTAGAGTTGGAAGTTACTGGAAAAGAAAAAATGAAGTTTATAGAGCAAAATAACGATTGACAGACAACTTAAAAGATTGCAAATTATGTGAATCAAGAAAGCAAGATAAAGGAAGCAAAATATGGCAATTCTTCTTAAAATGTCACTAATGAAAAGTCACAATAAAATGTCACTAATAAAAACTGGTATTTGGGAAGTTCTAAAATAAGTCTGTTCAAAAGATACATGGTCTCCTTGGGTTTTCTACCACATTGTCAAATTTTTTTCCATATCTTCAAATTTTCTTTTTTTTACAGCTTGTTCTTCTGCATTGTTTATTGTTTATTTCCATATTACTATTTATTTATATATCTAAATGACATAATTTTCATTGTTATATTGATTTAATTAATGTACTATATATAATCACTGTAATAGTATAAAAAAAATAATACTTGCTTATTTATAAAATCAAAATAAATAAATGAGAAAGAGGTGGAAATGTATCATTTATGTGGAAAACCATATAAAAAATTTAAAAATGCCTGTTTTTCAGTTTTTACACCTTTTTTGTTTTTATGTAAATATTTTTTTATAGTATATATAAATATACACCAAGAGGCAGTATGTCCATATTTTGTGCTTTTACTATTTATTATAGTTTTATATATATACATATATATATATATATATATATATATATATATATATATATATATATATATATATATATATATATATATATATATATATATATATGTATATGTATATGTGTATATATTTTTATACTTTTACTGTTTATCAAAAAATATTCAACAATCAATGGGATATGTGTGCAATAAATCTAGTCCAAATGATACAACATCTGAAAATATTTAAAAAATTAGTCGGACATTCTGAAAGAAAGTCTTAACAAATTAAATTTTAAAACTTAATTTTCTTGGAAACACTTAAAATGGACATACAGCCTCTTTGTTCTTGGCTGACATTATGTATCTGCTATTTGTTTTTTGGCGACCTAAATCTGTATGTTTTTTTTTGTAAAAAGAAGACTAAGAATAATGAGAAAAACTTGAATTAATATCCAAACCAAACCCTCAGTCAATATAGCAGCAACATCTTTGCATATTCTCCCTCAGTCATTGTATAAACAGAAGCTTTCTATTTAAGTATGATGTAAGAGTGCCAATCTTAGTATGCTTTTATTTACAGTTATACCATGATCTATTTGTAAATCTTTTTCCAGCTTGGGTGCAGATAATTCTCCATCAGGGGGTGATTTTTCAATAAAAACAAGACTTTTTTGACATACTGTATATACATTTATATATACTTAATAAATTTATAAATATACATGTGTGTTTATATATATATATATATATATATATATATATATATATATATATATATATATATATATATATATATATATATATATATATAAATTTATAAATATAAATATATGAATATATGTATGTATGCGTGTGAGTGTGTATATATATATATATATATATATATATATATATATATATATATATATATATATATATATATATATATATATCAATAAACCAGAATTATTTCACTTTGCCATAGGCATCCAGAGGTTGTTGATTGTACAATATTAAAATTAAAAGAGAAACAAATGGTGCTCCATCCAAATATTTTTAAACAAAGTCATTATGGACTCATCAAAACATTAAAATGAACTTTCTTCTGCAATTGAATTAAAAATTTCAGATCCTAAATAAAAGAAAAAGATAAGAACAAAAAAAAGTTTATGTTATTATGTTCAGAAGTGGATAAAAAATAGACTTGTGATAATTCTGACAAATTAAAGGAGAACTATTGTTAATATATTTTGTGATGCTTTAAAACAATAGAAATGTAAATGACCAGTTTTTAAAATTTATAAACTTTTAAAAAAGATGGCTTATTAGTAAGAAACATATTCTTTTAAACTGTCTTTTTTTTTGTTGTTGTTAATATAAATTTTTATTAATCGTTTTAATATAAATTTAGATTAACAACATTTTATTATAATATTTTATACTTATAATATTATAAGAATAACTTATAAAGAAATACTTATTATATTATAAGAATAAAATTTAGATATATATTAGATGCATACTTTTTTGTGTCTCCTTTTTTCTTCGGCTTTCAATCAACTTTTAACAGATAATATCTTGAAAAAAATTAAAAATTTTATAGCCCCACCTGATAACCCCTGTCAGGACCAGAATTCAGTAACTTACTAGTTAATCAAGACAAACCTATTATCAAAAGTTGAACAAGTTTAAATTTTTTTTTTAGTATAAATTAGTAAGGACAAAGATTTAGTGTGAAAATTGATGACAAAATATGAAATAAAGAAAGTATATAGAGTGTTTGGCCAAGGATAAAGAAAGGAAATAAATCTTAATTAATTCAAAAATATAAAGTAAAACAAAAAAAATATTGTCACATAAGAATACAACTAATTTTATTGCATTTAGATTAATAAATTTAATTACATTTTTGATAAATATCAAAAACAGATAAATATTTTTTCATAAATAAGATAGAAAAAAATAAAACTCCATTCTAATAAAAAAACAAAAAAAACACAGCACTTGTATTTAATCTAATAAATTTAATATTTCAACAAAACTATTATACTTAATAACAAAACAAAACTCAACATGCACACAAGTAACATAATAGTATACACAAGTAAATAAAAAAATGACACAACAATACAAATAACATAGCAATAATCAAAAGTAAATAAACAAATAACATAGCAAAAATCTTTTTTAAAAAAAAGCTTTTAATATATAAAAAAATCTTTTTAAAAAAAAAAACCAACGATTGGAAATGAAAATGTAAAATAAATATATTTCATAACATTCATTCACAAATTAATGTTAAAATAAAATTCAAAAAAAAATTTGATAAAAAATCAAAATATTTTTTTTTTGGTTTTACTGATTAAAATAAAAAAAATTAAAAAGCTTAATGAAGGTTGTTAAAAAAAACTTCAAAATTTCTTTTATATAATAAATTATGTACTTATTTCACATTTATAACAGTATCTGAATACATATAACATATATCTGAATATATATAATGTATTTCTGCAGTAAATTCAACCATTACATCCAACAGTTAAGGAAGAAGTATTCATGAAAGATCTGTTATTGGAGAACATTTTAACCATAGCTCATGGAAATAACTATAAAGCCCTTCTGTCACCGAAACCTATTTATTTGATAATAATAGCATTACTCATTTATTATTATATAATGTTACGGTATATTTAAATAAATATATTATAAACAAATTAGTAATAAGTGTTTGTGCGTGTGTGTGTGTGTGTGTGTGTGTGTGTGTGTGTGTGTGTGTGTGTATATATATATATATATATATATATATATATATATATATATTTATATATGTGTGTGTGTATATTAGAGTGCCTCTAAAAACAACTTTTTTTAATTGTCTACTGCCACCCCCTAAATGTGTTCTATGTAATAAATTAACACTAAATTAAAAAAAATTTTGAATAAAAAAAATTCTCAAGCTCAAAGATCCTTAAACATCAACAGGTTCCTAATATTTTGAAAAAGTCCTTTAAAAGTATATCATGTTGGGTCTCAAAAGAAGTGAAATTTTATAAAATTTCAAAAATAAAAATAACAATTTATGAAAACACAAATTAAAAAAGTTTATTTAAAAAAAAAAACATAAAAATATGTACTTTTTACTTTTTGTTAAAGAATGATAATTTTTTAGCCATAAAATTTAAACTAGTAATCTTTATATAAAATGATTATTATTTTTGAAATTTTTATAAAATTTCACTTCTTTTGAGACCCAACATGATACACTTTTGAAGAACTTTTCTTTTCAAATTGTTAGGGACTCGTTTGATGTTTAAGGGTCTTGAGCAACCCCTAAAATTTTTTTAATTTATTGTTAATTTATTACATAGACATATACATAAATACATATATATGTATATATATATATATATATATATATATATATATATATATATATATATATATATATATATATATATATATATATATGCATGTTAGCAATTACAAGTTGACTTAAAAAAATAAAAAAGTTTTTATTAAGTTTTTCAATATCTTTAATTTATTTAACAACTTTTTACTAAAAATATATATTTTAATTAGCAATTATTTCTTGTATTTAAAAGGCCCCTTAAGCACTGAGAAAATTATTTCCCTTTAGTAAAAGTTAAAAGAACAGAATTGATAATATTTAAATGGAAATGAAATTAAAATAATAGTAAATACACTTATTAGGTGATTATGTATTCAATTATGTATTATTAAACTGGTGCCCCTCCCCCCGTAGCAACTGGTGGGGGGAGGGGGCGGCAGGGGCATTAGCCCCTTTCCCCCAATAATTTTTCAAATAAATAATTTTGAAGTTAGTTTTTAGAAAAAAGCAAGCGATTACAAATTAAGATATAAAAGAAAAAAAGGATAGAAAGGACCTTATTTGTTATCCCCCTCTCCCCCAATATGAATTTTGCTCCTACGGGTCTGTATATAACATTATATTATAAACAGACAACAACTATTTGAATACAAGACATTTTAATAAGCGTTTAATAAGCGTAATAACTGTTTTTTTAATTTCGCAAATACTATGCTATTTGATTAAAATACTATTAAAGTACTTTGGGCATTTATCAACTTTTAAAATTAAAATTACTAAAATATTGTTATTTAATGTTTAAATACTTTAAACAATTTTCAATAAATATTTATAAATAGGGTAATATTTGCAACCTAAAAGTTTATTAAAATACTAAATTCTTAGCTTAACTAAAATAAAATGTCCACTGTTAAATAATGTATTCAGAAAAATGGATTTTACAACGAGACGCCATTTTAAATCAACTCCTTATCTTGAGATAAAACTAAACCAGGTGAATACAAACAAAGTGATATTTAAAATATAAGAAGCTACCCCAAGAACAATTAACCCCCCCCCCCCCCATCTTGAAAATGATATCCCCAAATAAACTCTGGGTTTAACTCTGGGACTGCATATCTATTATTACTATTTCAAATATGCTCATTTATATGAGCATAATATTAGTATTAAAAATAATGAAACTAATAAAAAGAATAATAGCAACAATAATAATTATTATATTAATAACAACGCCAGCAAATAAATTAAAAAAATCTGGATTGTATACAATATATAAAATATATAGGTTTAAAATATTAATATATAAAAAAATAATAAAAAAATGTTTATGCAAAAACAACATAGTTTACATAAATCATAATTAAAATGATAAAAGAATTGACAGCAATTCAGTGGTAGCAGGCTTTAGAAATGATAAAAAAAAATGGTTATATTGAAGGCACACATGAAATATCATGCATATACTGTATATTTCCTGGGATATATTATGTCTATTATATATGATATGTTATGTTTAATATAGGATAAATATATGGTATATAAAATTTCAATTAAATTCACATGTTTTATTTAGCTTAAACTACCTTATAAAATAGGCAATTAAAATCTTGGTTAGTTTTACCTTATATGGTGTTGGATTTAAAGACCTCAAATGGTCTGGTCTTAAAGTTTTGAGTGATTGTTTTACATTAGCTCTTGCTTCTTCTAATGAGTTCAGTGGAGTTTGAATCTACAATTAAATAAAAATCTAAATAAGTAATAAAAACATTTGAGTGTTGAAAATTGAAAATAAAATATTTTGCTGACCTCTCCATCTTTCCAATATAGTTTGAGTAACGGTTCCACAACAGTAGGTTTAACATAAGCTCTTTTTGATTCATCATATGGATGCCTACATAAAACTCTTTCTCCAGCAATTGGAGCACTTTCAAATGAATTGGTCATTAAATCTAACAATGCAGTTCCTGTGATAATAGTTTTTCAATTAATATTTTATCCGACTAATAATTTGGGTTAGGACACAAAAACAAAGTTTAGTTGAAAACAGGTTAAGGTTAGTTAGGTTTGTTGGGGGCAAAAACCATCATAAGCATATGAGATTAAATACAGGGAAAAGGTGGGGGAGGAGGGGGTAAGGAACGTTGTTTTTTTTGTCCTAATATATTTTGAGTACTTTAAGTTTTTAAATGTTCACTTTAATATCAAAATTGACTATTGACAAGTCCAAAATAACACTAATTTGAGTCATATAATCTGTAAATTTAAATACTTACCATCGCTGTTATAAAGTCTGTAAATATCTTTTTTTCCAGGAATTGTTACCTTGGATACAACTTCACTTAACTTAATGCGTGGTATACCATTCAGCTCTACAAGCTTAATAATAATAATAATAAATAATATAACACGTAACAAGTAACAAATTAATGTTAATGAAACTTTAAATAAACTTTATAGCATTTATAATTCTTTAATTACTGCTACAATCGATTAACTGATTATGTAATGCTTCCCTACAATATCAGTTAAGATTAAAATTGTGTTTAAAGCCAGTAGTTTATCAATAATTTTAATTTATTAATTTGGATAAACTAAAGATATATCTAAAAGTTATAAAAGACAAATACTTTAAAATGCATTAGAATCAAATGCATAGAATCAAATACAGTGAAACGCTATATTATGAATTTAATGGGAACAATTATACAGGGAAATTGAGAAACTTTTTAATATTTAAAAATTAAAAAATCAACTTTAAAGCAATTTTTTTTACAACAAAATAGAATTTAAAAAAGTTAAAATTAGATATAAAAACCAGATGTAATACTTTGAGCATACTGACTAAAAAATTTTTTATTTGACCAGACAGTTTATATGTGTGTTATTGTTTACAATTAGATTTATGTAAAAATTGTGACAAGTTCTATTACAGAAAACGATAATGCTCAAATTGATAAATATAATAGAAAAATATAACTATAATTAAAAAAATCTCATCAATTGGATTCAATCTAAAAACAGTCAGCTTGATGTTTTGCATAGCGTAATAATAACATTAACTTTAATATCTGTGGCCATTGGTCAATTTATGATAAGTGCAGGTATGACATTTTTCAGGGGAGGAGTTTGAAAATTTGATTTGTTGCCATAATCGGGTAATAATGAAAAATAAATTATTTTTGTTTTAGGAGGTAACAAACCAAAGCAATCAAATAAATGATTTAACAAAACTAATCTTAAAATGACCGATTTTTCACTTATCATAAATTGACCAATAGCCACAAATATTAAAGTTAATGTTAGTAATGCAGTATACAAAACATTTAGTTTAACATTAAATTACATTAATAGATATACCTTAAAAGCCTCTATAACCTTGATCAAACTTAAATAACCTTGATAAACTCAATCAAATGTTAATAGCAACAAACTTAATCGAATCTTATTAGCCTTGATAGCCCCAAAAAGAGTTTTTTCAAAAGTTGGTGCAATTAAAAACTATGCAATAAAAATGTATGTAAAAGAATAAAAATAAAATAATAAACTTTATTTCTTCAATCACAAGTAATTTTTAATTTTTTTTAATAACTCTTTATTTTTAGTAACTTATATATGTATTTAATTGCTCAAATATTTTCAGAATTTTTTGTTCAATATTCAAATAGATAAATGGTCTAAAGCATAATTTTATAGTGGAACATTATATACAGCAATAATCAGATAAAAATTTCTTTTAATGAAAACAATACAATTATAATTGATTAATTCAAAAAGTGATTGATAATTACAAATGCTTCATTTACATACACTAATAACTTGTACAAACACCCTTTATTTATACACGCACTTTGTTACACATCCTTACACCTTAAGCTTATACACGCACTCTTACTTTACGCATACTCTCTTACTTCGTAGACAGACCTTCTATATACCTTCTAAATGCAACCTTATTTTTAGCACACCAACACTTTGTTCACTCACACATACCTTACACATGTATCTTACCTTGTACACACACCCAAGTGCAGGTTGTTTTTGACAAGTTACAAGATGAGTACCAATACCATATGCATCTATTGAATGACCCTAAAGTAAAACCTATCAATTTCACAACAATTTAGAAATTAAATATTATATTTAATTTCACTAAAATTTAGAATTTATATAAAATGTTAGAGTTATATATAATGTTAGAGGCTAGAGATCTGATTTGCTGAATTTCAGCAAATCAGATGTCAGGATTAGAGATGCATCAAAATCTAGTTTTTCAACACTAGCGTGTAGATTATTCTGGCAATTACTAATACAAATTCTGGCCAGATATAAACCTGAATTTAAAAATTCTGACCAGATATAGACCTTAATTTAAAAATAAAAAATTGTCACTCCTTTCTGAATCACTGTATATCAATTCAAATTTTTTTAAAGTCAAAAAGCTTTAATCTGAATTGTAACTATTTGTAAAAAAAACTGGCCAATAAGCATTTTAATTCTAATTTTTAACAAGATAATATGAATATCACATTGAAATTATTAAAATCTAATAACAATTTGAACATCTCTTTTACAAATAGTTTATTTATCTCTGTCATTACTATAGTAATGATAAGACTTTTAACTTAATTTAAATCATTCATGAAACAAAAAAAAATTAGGTTTTTAAAGGTATTTAGGGAAATAAATAAAAACAAAATATCTTATTTATGGAGAACAGAATTTTAAAACTTTAGAACTTTTATAATCAAAAAAATGACAGAAACTACAGAAACATGTGTGACAATGTTTTTTCAAACATATTTGCAAAAGAATATATAAGCTAACTGATGCTATACTAAACTGAAATAAAACTTGGCTGCACTGGAAGCAATAAGAAAACATAGAAAAAGAGTCACTTTTGATTTGAGAGTTCCAACAAAATGAAATTAGAACTACATGTATACTATTGTTTATATAGTATAAATATTATTTACCTTTAACTTTTTATTTATCGAAAAAAATCCTTGCAACTAATTTGATATCATGGAAATTTACTTGTCTTTAATGATTGGGATTTACTTATCATTGCAACTTATTTGATATACCTGAAAATGAATTGATCTATTTTTTCTTTTTAAATGCTATTTATAATTCAGTGTCAAGGGGGGCCACTACAGTTGAGGAGACTACTTTATTGTTGTTACAACCCTCTCTCAACTCTTTAACTTCAAAACACAAAGTAAATACTAAACCACTCTACCACTACTGCATTTGCAACTAATGATATTTTTTGATAAACTATTAGTTAGTGTATATTTAATTGAAAAATATATATATCGAAATCTCTTTTTATTAGTGTTACATAAAATTTAACACACTAGTTTTAAAGTTTTATAGTATATACAATAGTTTTATAACACAGTATGTGTGTGTGTGTATGTGTGTGTTATAAAACTATATGCTCTAAAATTTCATAAATTATCATGTCATATGCAAAAAATTACAAAGAAATATGTAATGATTTGGTATAATATATGCCATAAGTTATTGTAATATATGCACTCTAACTAACCTCAGATATAAAAATTAAAAAAGTAACTTTAACGATATAAGCAACATGTTACTATCAACTTTACTATACCATTATCAACTTTGCTGTATCAATAACTTCTTTGCTGTATCACAATCAACTTTGTTTTTAACAATTGCAATTAACACAGTTTTTTACACTCATAAAAAACTGAAATAGAACTCTAAAGCAAATATTAGACTGTAGCAGAACTTTCAAACAAATAAAATAAATACTGAAAATGAACTTCGTTAATTAACAAAACTAAAAACAAAAACAAAACTTGAATTCAAAAACTTTAAAATTTAAAACATATTAAAAACTTAAAACAAATTTAAAATTCAAAACATAATTTTGGTTTTATTGTAAACTTTCTCAGCCAATAAATATACCATATACATTAAATATAATGTATATTATATAATATATATATTATAAAATATATATTATAAACAAAATATAAAAAATATATAAAAAATATTCTATGTAATATATATTCTATATAATTTATATATAATATTCTTGAAATTGAAAAAAATTAAAACAAATAAATAAATTAAATAAAAACTTGTTGCTAAGATACTTGTTGCTAAGCTTGTAAAAAACATTTTAACTAATTTCATTATTTCATATTACTTGTTGCTGCAATGATGTCAATGTTTCTTCATTTATGTCATTACTTGCAGTAATAGTTAAATGTTCCAACCAACCAATGTTAAATCTAAACGTATAATATCATTATGACCAACTAATGTTAAATCTAAACGTATAATATCATTATAACTATGGATTATAATCATATGATTACTTTAATGTAATGTTAACATAATAAACTTAATAATTTATGTTAACATAATAATTAACACAATTAAATCAAATCAAATGTATTCTGAAATAGATTTTACATTTTACATTTTTTCATAGACTATTTACGTATAGCACAAGTACTAATTTTAAAAAATTAAAAAAAAAAAATTACATCAACAAGGCTGTAAGCAAACTAATTAAGCCTAAAACAAATAAACTAATTTATGATGGAAGTTAGAAGGTTAAGTGGGAAGGCTGCAGCATTAAAGTTAGAAGACTGTAGCATTCAAGTTGGAAGACTGTAGCATTCAAGCAAAAAAGCTGTAGTATTCGAGTCAGAAGATACTAGACAAAAGTTAGAGAGCAAGAATATAACTTAAAATTATTTACAAAACTTTTTAAGTTAAGAAAATATAAATAAGAGAAAATTCTAAAGCATTTATTTTCAAGATAAAATTCCAAAGCATTGATGTTCAAGGAAGAATAGAAGTTTTTTGGGCAAAGAGTAAACAGTTACAGTTAATAGTAATATTAATAACCAACTTAATTTTAACAACCAATAAAATTAATTAATAACCAACTTCGCTAAATAACAAGTTATGCAATATTGAGTTTTATATTTATTTTGTTTTTATAAGAGATGATTACTTGTTTGAGCAGTGATACCACAATGATAATGATAACAATAACAGTAATAATAAAACAACAACAATAAAAGTAATAATAATAAATAATTAACAACAATATTTGTAATATAAATAGTAAAAATAATTTTGCTCTTAAAAACAAATAAAAAAGGTAAACACTAATGCAGAAAAAAATGTGTCAAAAATACCTTTCAGCAGCCTGTTTAAGTAGTTTACGAACTTCTAATGAAAGATAAGCTAAATCACCAGAATCTATTCTAATTCCAATTGATTTGTAACCAAAGTCATTCAAAGCCAGGGTAACAGCAATAAAATTTAAAACACCACTCCTATCAAATAAAAGAAATTAAAAATGAAATCATAAATCTCTGTTGTACACATAATATTAGTTATAAATATAACAGGTTAAAAGTTACATACATTTATAACAGATTAAAAGTTACAATATCTATTATCAGGCAAGCTCACTCGGTATGTCATTTACATAAAGTAAATTGTTAGCCATTGATAAAATATCAAGATTAATGAAACCTGAGTTTAAATAAATTAAATAGTTCTTTGGGATTTCCTGACAATTGTTATATATATTTATATATATATATATATATATATATATATATATATATATATATATATATATATATATATATATATATATATATATATATATATATATATATATATATATATATATCCAAAATTTGCCAAGGAAAATTTAACTGGAATGGTCGCAATACGTTAAAAATCGAAACAAATAGTTTTATTAGGAAAGTTAGGGAAGCCTTGGAAATACAACTCAACGAAAGTACCTTTCGCGACAATGGTTTTAATCGAGATGATGGCGATTATGTGATGACGTCATTTTGGAAACCCATGTTTAAATTCTTACGTCACAAAAAACTCACTTAAATAACTCTCTTAAAAAGAAGCTCTTACAAAGAACATTGTTTCGTTAATTTAAACAGTTTTTATATAATATAGCGGTTTTGCTTTTACTTGATAACCAGGGTATCCAAATTCCCTCGAAATATTGTAACATTGAACATTGTTTCGTTAACAAAGAACATTGTTTTGTTTTCAAAGAACATTGTTTCGTTAATTTAAACAGTTTTTATATAATACAACGGTTTTTTATATACTTGATAACAAGGGTATCCATATTCCCTCGAAATATTGTAAAAATAAATATAATTTTTGCAAATAGAAATCAATCCATAAAAAGAAGTTTTATTTTAAAATATATCAACATTTAAAATATATATATATATATATATATATATATATATATATATATATATATATATATGTATATATATATATATATATATATATATATATATATATATATATATATATATATGTATATATATATATATATATATATATATATATATATATATATATATATATATATATATATATATATATATATATATATATATATATATACATATGTATATATAAAACTTTTATATTTATGATTAAGTAAATCAAATTAAGAATTGCTACACTGCTAGTTACATTTAAATTTAATTATAATATAATTATAACTAACATTTATTATTTTTATATTAAAATTGTAATCAAAATATTTTTTAAATCAAGTTAAAAGTAATCAACCACCACCACCACACACAAAGTCATAAAAATTAACTAAAATAAAAATTTTTTAAAATTTAATTAAAAAAATTAATTACACATAAATTTAACCACCACAAGTAATCACAGACAAATTTAAAATAATTATTTAAAACTAACTTTAGTACATTGTAAGTATCAACCAATGCAACAAATGTTGTTGGAAATGCATTTGCATAAGCAGCGAATGCTTTTAGTTCGCCTTGACTTGTTTGATCTAAACTAATTTTAAATGCATCCGCCACATCTAAAAGCTTCTGGTTAACCACAGGAAGAAATTCTTTACTTATATTATCATTAAGGTCTAGAAGTTTCATCTTGAGATTTACTTCATTGATATCAAAAGAAGATACAAAAGCATGAGCATGTGTTCCTTTTGTAGGAATACCAAATTCTTTAGCAGCCAGTACATTACTTGTTCCATCAAAACCTAGAAAAATAATTGAGATAAAATAAATGACACCCTTTAAGCCCACTGGAAAAATCTAATGAAGATGTAACTAGTCACTAGCAATTAATCAGAAAGATTAGCAAATAATCAGAAAAACAGAAAGACAGCAACAAAAGTTTACTAACTCAAAAACTAAAAAACACTTTCATTTGATTAACTTTTAAATAGTTCGTAATAAATTGCCAAACAGACATGCTAAAGTAAGATCTGGTAAAATCTAATAATATTATTTCACTTTGACTTATTATTTATTACAAATAAATATTATCAATATAGGGTTATTCCAGGAAAAAAACTTAGGTTGTGGTACACTTTTGCCACTTTCCCAAAAGATGTAAGGTGGAGGGGGAGATGCATAGAAACTTTGAGTGCAACAATTAAAAACTTATTGTTATAAAATGTGCAAAAAACAATAATTTGTTTACATCCTTTATAGATTTAAAATTATGTTTAATTGTATTTAAAAAGAGATTTAATTTGTTTAATTTTAATTGTAGTTAAATGGTTTAAAGTTGAGAGCCATTGAACTTATCTAACTACAGTCCCATTAGTCTTTTTTCATTAGTTAGTTACTATAATTAGCAAGGCTTTTGAACCTTTAATTAACAAATATTCTAACAAATAATACAAAAACCTCTCATCTTGAATCTAACAACTTACTTTCTGATCATCAAAATAGATTTCGATCTTCTTGTTCTACTCTTGATTTGCTAAAGGTAATTTACTACCATTTACTCTCATCTTGATTGAAAGCTAACAAACTCTGATTGCTTGGAGGGGACATTTGAGCTTGAAAAGAATATTATTTCTGCTACAGCATTGAGGTTGCAGTGGCTGGTGAACTGTAACTCAGATAAAACTCAATTTTTTTCAGCTAATTGTTATTGTAATAGCTTAGATCTTCCTATATTTATGAACGGTAATGTACTAAATGAATCATTTACCCTTCATCTTCTAGGATTAACTCTTACTTCCAATTTTTCTCAGAAAGCATAGATCAAATCCATTGCAAAATTAGCATCTGCTTAGGTTGCATCTCTTTATCATTCTTGTGTTACTCACCATTCAATTAAGTCTTGTCTTTTTTCTGTGACTATTCCTAAGTGCTCCAAAAACTCTTATTTGTCTAGTTTTTTTCCTCAAACATCAGCTCTTTGGAATCCGCTTTCTTCATCTTGCTTTCCTGATTCATATAATATGCAATCTTTAAAGTCATCTGTCAATTATTATCTTGCTCTATAGACTTTATCTTTTCTCTTCCAGTAACTTCCAACTCTAACAACTCTAATAGTGGTTGCTTGCAGCCTTGTTGGAAGCAAAGATGTTGAAAAAAAAAAATTCAACCATGTTTGAACTTTAAAAAAAGTAAAAACCTTATCAGCAGCATATTAGTAAAATTGACTAGTAGTTTTACAGTGTTTTAATGGTAGTTTATAGTCAACTGATAGATTTTTAAAAACTGTAAAATAATGAAAATTTTTTTTTTATGTTCCCCAAGAAGTACTTATGGTCTTATCACAGAACACCACAGAAGAGCATTTGAAACAAAGTTTACGTCTCCTTCCTTACCGAATGTTATACAACTTGCCCAGAGGTGGTATTGAACCACGGATCTCTAACTTCTGAGGTAAGCATGCTAACCACTGCGCTACTTAAAAGGCTATTTCTTAAACAGCTATTTCTTTACTAACTACAAGAAAATCTGACATCTTGAACTTACTAGGTGGGAAATAAAAGAGGAAATTTTAGTTCAGATCTAATAAATAGGGAAGGGGAAATCTTACTAAAAGTGTGGGTAGGAATTTTTAACAGAACATGCATAAAATAATTAAAATTTATTTAAAAAAAATTAATATATTGTAGAGTCTATGTATATGGTCAAACTGTTTTAGAGCTTAGAGGAAAGCAGAAGAAGAGAAAAGTTTCAACAAGGCCATATGATGTGAGGTTAGAGAAAGGAAAGAAAAACAATAAGAATGACAAGAAAGACAACTGTATGGAATACTGTTGTCATATTTGGGCTGGTTCTTCTAACGATTCTCTTTCTCTTCTTGACAAGGTCCAAAAACGCATTGTAAATGTTGTTGGACCTGGACTATCTGCTAAGCTTGAACCTCTTTCCCATCGTCGTAAAGTTGCATCTCTTTCTCTTTTCTATAGATACTATCATGGTCACTGCTCAAAGGAGTTATCATCTCTAGTTCCATCAACTAAAATTCATTCTCGTTTTACTCGTCATTCAGCTAAGTCTCATTCGTTTAATGTATCTGTCCCTGCATGCTCTAAAAACTTTTATTCGTCTAGTTTTTTTCCCCGCACTTCAATCCTTTGGAACTCTCTCCCATCTTCATGTTTTCCTGACTCATACAACCTTCAACTTTTTAAGTCTTCTGTCAACCGTTTCCTTGCTCTATAACTCTGTTCTTCTTTTTTTTCCTAGTAACTCCCAACTTAATAGTGGTTGCTTGCAGCCTTGTTGGGAGTGAATGCAAATAAAAAAAAAAAAAAAAAAAAAAAAAAAAGAAAACCAAATGAGAAATACCAATGTCAGAGCATAAATAAAACCAGAAAAATTGAAATCAGAAAAATAAAGAAAAATATCCTAAGTTTACAACATGCTCTCAGTATATACCCTAAATCTTAGTATATAGCCTAGATCTCAGTATATACCCTAAATAAAATTTAAATATAAATTAACTTTTTTAAACTAATGAAATTCTCAAATAAGCTTCAGATAAGATACATACAAAAAGATAAAATTAATAAAAACTAAGTTTATTGTAATTTTATTACACTCTGCCAACATAAACATTGAATAGTATTACAACCATATTAATTTATTATTCACCTTTTGTTTTACAAAAGACACGTCAGTTTTCAATGGTTATACACACATCAGTCTCCAATAGTAACACACACATCAGTCTCCAATCATAACATACACATCATTCTTAAATGATAACATGCAAATCATTCTTCAATGGTAATAGTGATAAGTTTTATTTCATAATAATTATATTTGAGCATTAAAATATTTATTTTACAGTAAAGATGAAAAATAATAGATAGAACTTTTATAACAAATTTATTTTATCTAAAATTTAGTTTTTTTAGTTAAAAAAATTAAAAAAAAAAACAATCAAAATTACTAAAAATGCATTTAATACTACAAACATACCTCCCATATAACAGTAGCGTGAAGCAGAAAGTGCACCATCTGGTCCTTGAGCTCTCCTCAAACCAAATTCTAATAAAACTTTGTTATCACCAGCAGCTTTTCTAAATCGAGCAGCATTGGTAGCAATCAAACTAAAAAAAGAAGAGAACTCAACACTAATTATCATAGCATAATATTTTAATACAAATTATCTAAAGAATTTGAAAAAATGGTTAAACAATAAATTTATTAAAATTTTTTTGTTACTGTTTAATATTGTTAAAACATACCTTGCATAGTTTACAAGATTCAAAAGGGTTGTTTCAAGCAGTTGAACAACTAAAATATTTTCAGAGATATCTTTTAATTATATAATATGCACTAATAAAAATATATATATATATATATATATATATATATATTTATATATATATATATATATATATATATATATATATATATATATATATATATATATATATATATATATATATATATATATATATCAGAGGTGGAAAGTAACGAATTACATTTACACACGATACTGTAATTGAGTAATGATTTTGCGTATTTCTACTTTTTAAGTATTTATAAGTTTTATATAAGTTTTTTCTATTTTTAAGTATTTTTTTAAAAAAGTACTTTTATTTTTACTTAATTTTTTTTTTTTTCTAAAGTATTGTACTTCGCTACATTTGAAATCATATTGGGAGGCTGCATAAGCGTGAATTGGCATATCTGCGAACTGGCATAAGTGCGAAGCATTGCAAAAACTGGCATAAGTGCGAACTGGCATATGTGCAAACTGGCATAAGTGCGCCAAAACATTTGGCAAACATTGGTATAAGTGCGAATTGGCATAAGTGCGAAGCAGTTGCAAAAACTGGCACAAGTGCAAATTGGCATAAGTGCGCCAAACAAAATTGCAAACATTGGCATAAGTGCGAATTGGCATATTTGCGAACTGGCATAAGTCAGAATCAGTTACAAAAATTAGCACAAATGCGAACTGGCATAAGTGCGCGGAACAAACTTGCAAACATTGGCATAAGTGCGAATTGGCATAAGTGCGAACTGACATAAATGCGAAGCTGTTATAAAAACTGGCATAAGTGCGAACTGGCATAACTGCAAATTGGCATAAGTGCGCCGAATAAATTTTCAAATATTGGCATAAGTGCAAACTGGCATAATGGCGAAGCAGTTACAAAAACTGCTTCTCAAAACTTAACAATAAGTTATAGTTTAAATTTTTTTGTTTTTTTATTCGACAGCTTTGTTATCTGACAGGCTGCTAAAAAAGTAACGCAGTAACTTTTACTCTGAGTACATTTTTAATGAGCTACTTTTTATTTTTACTTGAGTAAACTTTTATATATATATATATATATATATATATATATATATATATATATATATATATATATATATATATATATATATATATATATATATATTATATATATATATATATATATACACACATATACAAATAGTATTGTGTAAGCAATCTGACGTCATACTGAAATAGCCTGCTGCTGGGGGCTTCAGTACATACATCAACTGACAAATAGCCTGACTCGCAGTGGATTGCTGCTACATCGACTGAGGGTTTGGGATGGGGAAGCAATTGTTTTATTCATAATTCTTTGTTTTTTCTTCTTTTTCGAAAAAAACCGTATAGCTTAAGGTAAGCAGAAAAAGTGAGCAAATGCTTATCAAAGCACGCTTTAGTAAGTGTATATATATATATATATTTGATTTTTTTGATTTTAGTTTTATTGTTAAGAAATTATTATCTTATTTTTCGTTATTTTATTTTTTTTACAAGATATTATTATCTTATTTTTCGTTATTTTATTTTCTTCTTTTGGGATAAAATTTTTTTTTTTAAAGTTTCTTTAGAGTTAAGATAATTTTTCAGCGCATTTTTAAAATGTATACAAATTTTCAATTTTTTTGAGTGGTCATATCATGGCATGAAATCATATTTTTTCCTGGTTAAGCCTGATATATCAGGGTGTAAACTAGCCCTGTGGAGCCCCGTCAAACGCGGTATTCCCAAATGCTCATAAATTAAAATTCCCAATTTAAAAGTGAAAAAATCCCATTTTCCAAATAAAGTTTGCCAAATTAAAGTTTAATAATAATTATAAAAATTATTGAAAACTAATTACTATTAAAAACTAATAGAAAAATAACATCATTTATTGTTTAAAACTTGAAATAAAATTGCCGCTATTGGTATAACTATGCGCTTGCATAACTACAAAAATGTCTCTTGGAAAAATCTTTTTGAGAATTGGGATTTTCCGAAAATCCCTAAAATTGCTTGGAAAAAAAATTCTTTTCTCAAAATTTGCAAATAATTTATTGTAACTCGTTTCAACAACAGCAAATATTATTAAAAAAATCTCTGCAAGTAATAAAGTACAAAGTAAAGTATTTAAAAAATTACAAATTTGTTTGGTTTAACACCCACAAATGCTATTTCTTTAAAAGTTTTTCAGCCCTTTTTGACTGAAAAGTTAAATAAGTTAAATATATGTTTTTTGATTATAACAAACTTGTTTTAGAAATTTATTTAATGAGGAAAATAGATTTCTTTACTTTACTGGTTGCTTATATTTAAAACCTAAATTAAATACATATAGGGCAGATTAGGTTATTATGAGCACCTTGGGAATATGAGCATACTTAAAGATTTCTCAGATGTAAGCAATGAAGTTAAAGTTGCTTTGTATTTTATTTTATAAGAGCGATTCTTTTAAATTAGTGGCTTTCGACATGTTTTTTTTTTTATGTATGTCTTTTCGTTGTTGTTTTGTTATGGTCTTAAAATTACGTCTAATCCGGATCATAGAGAAAACTTTACTTTTTGGAAATTTTAATTTAGATATGGTCTCAATATTACTATTAACTCGGACCATAGAAAATTTTTTACCTCTAAACAATATTTTTTCTCGTTTCGTACATCATTTTTACATCACCACTTATATCATTGTTGTATCGCCCAAAAAAAAAATTTTAACCACTCATTTGGCTAAAATTTATCTGGTCTTATTACAGTATTTAGTTAGTCTTATTACAATATTTAGTTACATATTATTTATCTGCTGATTTTTATATTATTACTATTATCAATAAATTTTTATGTTATATTATCTTACCTTCATTACTCAGCTTTGTTTAAATTTTTTTTAATCTTCATTAATCAGCTTTGCACAATTTTTGTCTTTTAATATTATTCAGAGAATTTCATATATCCTTCACTACATGTTTACATTTATGCGGGTTACATTTTTTATGGTTTTTGTGCAACATTTTTATTCTTTTCTTTTTTGGCTAACATAGTTTTAAAAATTATTGTTATGATTTTGGGTTGCGCGGGTTGCTCATTTACTTACATTTTTGATTGGTTATCTTATTTCAAATGAAGCATTAGACATATGACAGCATTTCGAATGAAGTATCTATGAGTTTATTAAAGAGTATTGCTGTTTTGTTGATTTTAAAAAAATGTTTTAATGATATATACTGCTTTCTGATTGTCTTTTAATGATATATACTGCTTTCTGATTGTCTTTTAATGATATATACTGCTTTCTGATTGTCTTTTAATGATATATACTGCTTTCTGATTGTCTTTTAATGATATATACTGCTTTCTGATTGACTTTTAATGATATATACTGCTTTCTGATTGTCTTTTAATGATATATACTGCTTTCTGATTGTCTTTTAATGATATATACTGCTTTCTGATTGTCTTGGGTTTGTTTTTGCTAAAAGTCCCTGCTTGGTTTTTTATATCTTAAAATAAATTTATTAGTAGTTTTGTGTTTCTATTAGAATTTTAATTTATTGTGTTTTCATGTTTTCTTTCAGTGGTATGGTAAGTGATTTATTTAGTTACTTTTATTTTTGTTTGTTTAGTAGATCTACATTTTTAATATCATACCATCAAAAAAATATTGGTGCTTTACAAATTTGGGGATGGTTGGGTTTTGGCTATTTGTAGTGAGACCTTTTTTACTGCAGTATGGAATAGGCATAGGTCACGGAGTAAAGTATAAGTGGTGATGATCAACACTAATAACTAGTTTATCCTGTCAGATGTTTGTCTGACAGGATAATCTTTAATCTTCCGTGACGATGATAATCTAATCTTCCGTGACAGGATAATCTTTAATTCTAATGCATAGGTGTTAAATCGATCATGTTTTACTGCAGTATGACTGGGTTGGCTTGGTGTAGTTCAGAAAAAATCTTTTACGCTGGTTACTAACAATACATAACTCTACTGCACGACATAAAATACACAAACTTACACATTACACCAATACACCCTTATGCACATACAGCCTGTTTACATCGTTTTGCAAGCTTTTTGTTCTTTTATAGATAAACTAATTAGTTTGACTTTCTCCTTATTTAGATAATATTTTCTTTTAATAGATAGTATGTAGTTGGAATGTATATACAAAAGAGCAATTCTTTTAAAATAGCGGCTGTCGACATGTTTTGTTTGATGTATATATTGTTGTTGTTGTTTTGTTATGGTCTAATTCGGACAGTAGAGAAAACTTCACTTTTAGAAATTGCGATTTAGATAATAACTAGATAATGTTTAAATAAGACCATATTATGGTCTCAAAGTTACTTTTAATTTGGACCGTAGAGAAACCTTTACTTCTAAACAATATTTTTTCCCACCTCTTACATCGTTTTTAGATTACGACTTATATCATTGTTGTATCACCCAAAAAAAAAATAAACCACTCATTTAGCTAAAATTTATCTGGTCTTATTACAGTATTCTATTAGCCTACAATATTTAGTAACATATTATTTATCTGCTGATTTCCATATGATTACTATTATCAGGTAATTTTTATGTTATATTAACTTATATTCATTACTCAGCTTTGTTTTAATTTTCATATGCACAATTTTCGTTTTCATATTATTAAATTTCTAAATAAATTACATAAAACTAGATTGTATAAGTGACGATGACATTTGTCTGACAGGATAAACTAGTTATTAGTGCTGATCCTCATCAAAACGCCAGTAATAATAGACGCAACTCTGAGGAGATGTTTATTACTTAATCACTACACAAATAATGTTTACACATAAGCATTAATGTTTTTTTCCATTCTGAGATATTGTTTTATTCATACTTTTTATTTTGCAATCAAATCTTTGTTTTATAAGTTTTTGTTTGGTGATATATCTGTTGTATATATTTGTTCATATTAGTTGTTTAGGAATTTTTTTTTTTTTTAATTATTATTATTATTATTACTATTATTATTATTATTATTATTATTATTATTATTATTATTATTATTATTATTATTATTAATATTGTAAGTACTGTTTAGGTGCATTGCCTGTCTCATTTTTAAATATTCCTCTATTAATCTTTATTTTTGTCTTGACAACTGTCAAAATATGCTTTGTTAGAAAAATAATTTTCCTTTATTCTAATGTACTTTATTTCTTCCCTCAGGCAATCACTGCTCGTGTGCGACCACATGGCAAATTTTATATGCCAAAGTTTTTAAATAATTTTATAATAAGAAAACTAGATTCACTGCTTGGTTGAATTTAAAACGTAAAAGCAAGTTTGAATGTTTTAAAGAACCATAGTCATAACAACATTTTATGACTATGCATGAAAAAATAATTGTTGGTATTCTTCGTTGCCACGATAGTAGGGCTGTTATCAAATAAATAGTTATTTATTAATTATTTCAAATAATTTTTTTTATTTGAAATTGTTTGAATGATGTTTTGCTTTTTTAAATAACTCAAATTAAAGTTTTGGTTTTTTGAATAATTCAAATAATAATAATTTTTTTTTACTATAAACAGTTTAAAAAAGTCTTTCTTTTCCTTTGAGTTCTAACATTTTGTTTACATTTTATTTGTGCTTGTTCAGCTAACAAAGTCAATTTTACGCTTCCTTGATTAAGTGGTGGCAATATGTTTTTATCATCAAAATAAAACAACTTTTAATTTTGTTTAGAAAACATAAATTTAATAAGATTCTAATGGAAAAGCAGTGGATCGTACCAACTGAAAAATGTTCTGAAGTTTGGAAACATGTTTCATTTAAATAGTTCAATTGTCAAGTACAAATATTGCTCTTCAACATTTCAACCAGCAGCCACAAGCTTGATGATTTGACCTTGAAAAAGTTTAAAATATTAAAATTATAAAACTTTTGCAGTGAAAGAAACAAAAATTAGTTGAGAAAAAGAGTGGTCAGATTTTAATTACTTCTTGTCTTAAAAACAAGATTGATTTACCTGAGATTGTTCTTGCAGACTTGTTGCAGTAGATCTTATTCCAATATTTAAGTTAGAGAAAAGTATTGATATTAAAAATGGTTGAGCAGCACAAAACTTAAAAATTTCAAGTAATAGACATGGAATGAAAAGTATGCTTTCGGAATATTGCAAAAAAGTAAAGTTTGATTTAACTGATGACTTTGAAAAGTTGAAAAAAGCAGATACTCGTTTTTCATTATCTTTAGATGAATGGACATCAAAGAAAAATCTTCGGTATAAGTGTTTTTTTTTATTTGCATTTTTTTAAAGGACAGGTTCAATCTGCTGGCATGTTAAGGATTAATGGTTTTATGACAGCAGAAAAAGCATTTGAAATGACTATAAAAATGCTTAAAGATTTTAATTTAAATCTTAATCAAGATATTCTTGATATAGTGACTGATGGTGCCAGTTTGATGAAAAAATTAGGAAAACCTTTAAATATTGTTTATCAACAATGTCACTCCCATGGTATTCATCTTGCTGTTGTTGATATCATTTACGAAAAGAAACATTTCAAAGAAATTAACACTGATGATGAACATGACAAAGTTGACGAAATGAAGATTCCAATGATGAACTAAGTGGGGAATGGCAGGCAACAACAATGTAATTGAATTGGCAGACAATCTTTGTGAAACTATAATAAAAATTATAAAAATTTCTATTCAGGAGGCCTCCAACCAAAAATGATATTCTCCAACAACATTGTTTGAAAGCAATCAATGATTCTTGACACAAAGACTAGATAGAATTCTTTGATAAAAATGCTTTCAAGATATCTAAAGATAAAAAATGTTTTAAATCCAATTATCAATGATCTGTCTGCCAGTGAATTAATACTCACTAAATCAGAAGTTGATCTCATAAGGGATTTAACTGATTGTTCAGAAATAACTGAGGTTGGAGCTACTGCTCTTTGTAAAAGAGATATTGACATCTTGACTTGTGAAAAGGTTTTTGAATTTACTCTTTCAAAACTAAATGAAAAGAAAAGTCTTGTAGGTAAATATTTTTATACTGCTGTGTTGGAAAGAATCAATGAAAGAAGAAACTCTGGTATTAGTGGACTTATTAGATATTTAGACAATCCAAATTGTTATAATAAAATTACTGAAATCTCGATCCTTTATTATCCAGAAAAGAAGGATTTTCTAAAGATAGCAAAAGATCTATACAAAAGACGTTTTTTGAAAGATATAATATCAAACTAAAATAGCCCATCCATTGACTCAAATAACAAGAGTGCTGCTCTAGAGTCTAAGGAATTGTTATAAAGAAGAGGAAAATTGATGAACTTTATGAATAATTATATGACACTCTTGTGGCTTCAACAACTAAAAATGTGTTGCTATTTTTAAAAAAAGAATTTACATTGTTTAAAGCCTCTAATGATATACCAAAAGGTACAGAAAAGTTAAATTTAGCCCTTTCTTCTTTGCCACCTTCATCTGTGAAAGCTGAAAAATGCTTCAGCGCGGCTGGCTTATTTATTACTAAACTTAGAACATCCTTAAGCGATGAAATGATTGATACACTATGTTTTTTAAGGTCATATTTAACCAGAAATAAATAGTTTTCATGTGTTTGGCAAAAGAAATAAGTCAATTTTCTTATTCTTTATAAAATAAAATATGCTATCCTATAAAATATTTTAATATATTTTTAACCCATAAAGGAATGTCTTTAGTTTTTACCATGCACCAATAAACTTTGTACTAAAACAAATGTTTTAGTACAAAGTAAATTGGTGCATGGTATTGATCCAATAATTATTTGAACTTTATATATATTATTTGAATTATTTGAATTATTTAAATAATTTTCCGAAAAATGATTTGTTATTTAAATAATTTAATTTGTCCATTATTTGATCAGCCCTACACGATAGCGTGCAATTGCTTGCGATCTTTGTAATTCTTTTGTAATTAAACAACATTTGTTATTGTTTTTGCTGAGACTTTGTAATTGTAACTTTATTTCATTAAACGATTTATGTATAAAGAAAGTTAGTATTAATTATAAAATTGAACACGCAATAAATGTAAAATATGAAATTTCCAGAGCTTGTGTTTACTACTTTCAAAACTTTTTTTATTTTTCTGTTTTTAAAAAAAATGTTCTTAAAAGAAAAGTTCGGAAGTGTTTACCCACTAAGTTTGAAAACACTTTTTCTAGGTTAGTGGAAACATTTTTGCTTTATGGGGATTATTTTTTTCAATTTGGCTCAACTCTTCATATAGCAAAAATTGCATTAAATTTTTAAAAAAAATTTCTTAGTAGAAACAACAAATCGCCAGCCGAGAACCAAGAAGCCAATTTCAAATAAACTTTCTAATCTAATCTGTCAGGGTTAGGGTTACCTAAACCTAAATCCTGGTTACCCTAAACCTAACCCTGACCCTAACCCTGGGTACCCTAAACCTAACTCTGACCCTAACCCTAACCCTTACAACTATTTAGTATTACATAAAACAAATCTTATCTACAAAAAAAATAATAAATGATATCAAACAGTATCAATAATAAAATAATAAAAAAATTACCTGCAAGAGGACCCTCTATCCTGATTATTGGTGTTTTAGGGAAAACAACACTACCCTCTGCAACAGCATACAACGTCACTTCTTTTGTTGTAAGAGTTTTCAGGTATTCAAAAAATTTAGGGTCAGTTGTGCTTGGTAAGATACTTTTTAGAAAATTTATATCTAGAATTATTATAAAAAAAGTCTAACATAAAGTACATACACTAAATTACAATTTTGAATTATGTGTGTGTATGTGTGTATGTATGTGTGTGTGTGTGTGTGTGTGTGTGTGTGTGTGTGTGTGTGTGTGTGTGTGTGTGTGTGTGTGTGTGTAGCAGCACTTCCTTGTAGAAACAGGCTATAAGATAGTTGATAAAGCAACACGCCGCGCATGCTTTACAGTAAAAAAGCACTCCTCACATGTTTTACCTAATATAAAAATTTTTTTGTTGAGAAAAAGAAAAAAAGAACCTATGATGAAGCTTTTGCCAAAACAGAACATTCGGTAATGTTCAAAAAAAATGTTGAGTTTGAGCAATTCTTGTGATGAACCAGTTGAGGGGACTGCTGGACTCAGCTCAGCTTACTCTGAAATCGAAAGGCGACACAAAAGGCTAATCAAATCTGGTGAACACATATTTGTTCCACATAATATTCTCAAGAATCCAAATGTTATTGTCTGAAGTGAGAGGAATAACATAATATTAAAATGAATTCAATTGTACATTTGATGATATGTCTGCGGAAGAGATGTTTCAAAGATATATCTAAGTTCCAGTTCAGCCCATTGATATCAAGCATCAATACTGCCCCATGTCAGCAAACAAAGAAAAGACAAATGGAATCCATCTTCAAAAATAGTAGTAAATTGGGATGGATAACTGATGGCTAGCTGGACTCCAAATACTACCTATTATAGTATCCGGAGTCAATGGAACTAAACTTCTTGGTGTACAACCCCTTCCAAGTTCAACAGCAAAAGCTGATCTGACACATGGTAATGTTGTCTCTGTTGTAACAAAAAATCTACTTGTAGATTGGAAATACAATAAAAACATCATAGGCATGGTCTTTGACACAACATCCTCAAATACAGGTTAGGCTTTAACAAAGCAATTATTTATTAAATTTTGTGATATGTTAATAGTTTATTAAATTTTAAATCAACAAATCATTTTTTTCACAAACTCTAGTAGATCAAATACTGTGGAGGTTTTAAGTAATGGACTATTTGTAAGGCTTTTAGGTATAGTTTTGTTAAAGAATTATTTCATTTACTCTTGACATCACAGGACAGCATACTGCAGCATGTATCTGCCTGTAGAGTGAGCTAAACTGTCCCTTATGGTTTTCATAGTCAGGTATTTTCATATTCAGGTATGTTTTTCATATTCAGGTATCAGGTAGGAGAAGTCATGTTTAGCAAGTATTGGGATTCATTAAATATAAAAGCTTCATCCAGTCCAAATATTTAACTTTTTACAAGGTAAGCCTAATGCTTTTACAACATCATTCAACAAAAAGATTTCTTTTATTGATTAAATAGTCTCGAGAGACTTAAAAGTGACTTAAATAGACTCAAATGGTTTTAACTAACAAAATGATTATAAATTGTTGGAGATTCAAAAACCACTACCTGTAACATCCACCACTTAGTAAAGCAAACTTTTACTATCCTGAACTTCTTAGAACAACTGAGAAGGAACAAGAAAGCGTAACCAATTGCTTCTGTGAACTCATAGCCAATTTTCAGATTGACAGACGACTTAAAAGATTGCAAATTATATAAATCAAGAAAGCAAGATGAAGGAAGCGAATTCCAAAGAACTGATATTTGAGGAAAAAAACTAGACAAATAAGAGTTAAAAACACCTGTTCAATTTTTTGAGGCATAGACCCAATAAAATCTTGAAGGTGCTGTGGAGTGATTTTATTCCAAGCATTTTGCAACAAGTTACAAATTTTATCCTGATTGTGTGGCTTTTTACCCATGATTGGCCTAAACAGGATTTCCCACACATGTTCAATGGGATTTATATCTGACTGTCACCGGAGACTTGACTTTGCAACTGCTCTAAGAGGTTTTATAGTTTTCAATTTTTATTATTCAATAAATTGATGTGTTAACCTAATAGTGTTATAAAACTGTAATTTTTAAACTATGTACATATAGTTTTATTTTTATGGTAAATTTAAATAGTTTATAATAGTTTTTGTTCTTTTTATATATCTACATGCATATATATATATATACATATATATATATATATATATATATATATATATATATATATATATATATATATATATATATATATATATATATATATATATATATATATATATATATATATATATATATATATATATATATATATATATATATATATATATATATATATATATATATATATATATATATATATATATATATATATATATATATATATATATATATATATATATATAAGGATTTGTTAGTGGTATTGGATAAGTTACATAGATTTGTTAGTGGTAAATCTTGTGCCACAAACCTCTTAGAGGTGTTAAATATAATTACAGAGGCACTAAATGGCTGTCCTAATCTTACTTGACTTTCCCAAAGCTTTTGACAGAGTAAGCCACAAACTACTGAATATAAAACTTAATGATTATGGGTTTGATGTAAAATTAATTGCTTGGATTTCTGACTTTCTGAAAAGTAGACGACAGCAAGTAGTCTTGGATGGTGTGTTTACTGATTGGGCAAAGGTAACAAGTGGGGTACCACAAGGATCGGTTATTGGTCCACTATTGTTTTTTATATATATAAATGATGTACCAAAAAGAGTCAAGAATTTCTGTAAGATTTTTACAAACGATAGCCAGCTTGTTGCTACTATCAAAAACAAAATGGATATCATATCAGTTCAAAATGACCTTATCCTTCAATATTGAGAAATGTAAATTTATAAAACTTGGTGAAAAACCAAGCAAAAATCTAGATACTGTTACTTCACTATGAAAGGTGATATTGGAGCTGTTTTTAACCTTGAAACAACAAAAATTGATTGAAATCTTAGTGTAACTAACAATAAATTAAAATGGAATTACCACATCAGACATGCAATAAATAAAGCAAATATAATCCTAGGTATGCTTAAGCAAACATTAAAATCGTGGATTTTTGTTAGATTGTTTAAAACCTTTGTTTGACATCATTTGGAATACTGTGCATCTTTTTGGAATCCTTTTCAAAAAAAAGACATAAGGGCTCTAAAAGCCGTCCAGAAAAGAACAACTAAACTTGTTCCAGCAATAAGAAATTTAGATTAAAAACCTGTCCGACTTATCTCAATCTACAAACTCTAGAACAAAGAAGGCAACAAGGGGACATAATACAATATTTTAAAGCATTCAATGCAAAGGGTTTAATGAAGTAAATTGGTTTCATATCAATGCCATACCACATTCCCTTTTAGCACAAGGACCTGCAAGTAATGTTAGAGGCTCTAAACTAAGACTTTTGAGATAATTCACAAGAATTCAAGCTAGATATTACTTCTTTACAAACAGGATTGTATTCTTATGAAATAAGTTGCTAAATCAAGCTCATATATATATATATATATATATATATATATATAATATATATATATATATATATATATATATATATATATATATATATATATATATATATATATATATATATATATATATATATATATATATAGACATATATATATATATATATATATATATATATATATATATATATATATATATATATATATATATATATATATATATATATATATAGACATATATATATATATATATATATATATATATATATATATATATATATATATATATATATATATATATATATATATATATATATATATATATATATATATAGACATATATATATAGACATATACTATATATATATATATAGTATAGAAAAAAATCTTTTTAAATACTTGCCATCTTCACTGAACTTAAACTCCTTCAAATATTCTATACATTGTTGTAATCCACCAAAAATTGTATACTCTCCTTTAAATGGATTCTTACGAAAAAAGAGGTCAAATACTGCAAAGTCGTTCATCTTTTCATTATGCCAGTAAGCATAGGCCATTGATATTTGATAATAATCAGTAAGAAGTGGTTGGATGACTTCATTTTTAAATAACTTGTTGCTCATTCTTCTGTTTTTTGCTGCTATATTAACAAGGTATATAGTAACAATTAGGTACATTGTTATTTTACATATTTATCATACTAATATATATAATCATAAAATTCCAATATGGAAACCCTTAATAAACAGCTCAAAATGGATATTAACTATTTTAAAGTTAAATGTATTCTATATAAAATAACACTGTTTTTAATAAGATCTGATAAAAATATATTTTTCACTTGTTCTGATAAACATGTTATTACTCTTTAAAGAAGTAAAAAGCTAAATTTAGCTTTTTTTATCTATGGACTAAATTTTCTTTTAGTTTAAACAAAAGAGAAATTAATTGTAAGTTAATAAAAGATGCCTATTATTAGATTGTAAGAAAAGCAAGATTATTAGAAAATAAATTTCTTTTAAACGTAGTAAAAACTCTTTCAAATGAACAGTCTCAATAATTAATCTTCATTAATAATGTATTAAATCGCATTAACCTTCGGTGATTTATTTTTATCATAACATGTCATTGTATTATTAAATTAGTGTGAATGCTATAAATATTATAAATAGTAACAATATATAATTTATATAGAGTTGTGTAATCGCATGAAATAAAATTTTTGGCAATATTATTTATGTTATAGATTATACTTATTATTACTGTATATCGATAGACTAAATACGTAGTTTATAGTTTCAAATATGTGGATTTGGACTTTGATCCTTTTGCTGGTCGTTAAAATATTTATTTTTATTTTTAGAATAAAGCAAAATTCCTTTAAAAAGCGGTATTGTTTAATGTTTAAACTATACCGTTTTTTATCTAAACTTTGCTTTAATCTAAAAAAAACATTTTTTTTAAATAAAAATTTTGCTTTTATCTAAAAACGATTTAAACTTTAAATCAAATTAGCGTATTTTTAACCGTTCAATGTTGCGTATTGCAGTTAGCGTTGTTGGTTGCAGGAAATTATCCCACGGAAAAATCCCCCCGAATTAATCCCCCGAGAAAAAGTCCCCCCGGAAAATATCCCCCCCCCTCCTAAAAAAAAAATAATTAAAAATCAGGTCAGGCAGTCTATCAAATAATTAAAAAATATATATATGTTTTGATATTGTATTCGTCTAGTTTCACTTAATTTCCATTTATTTATTTTTTTAAATAGTTTTTTCGCTTGAAAGTCCTTAACATATACCGCTTTCATTCTGTTTAAATTTCCCTTTGAATTAAATTCAATTTTCATATGGAAGCTGCATGTTAGCAAAATTTAAATAAAGTGGAGTATAAATAAAACCACCTGAATTAAAACATTTTTTAACATTCGATATTGACATATTGACGTTAGCGCTGTAAAAATTTTTTGTTTATCTGAGACATGGAGCAAATTCATTGGATGGAAACTCCTTCCCCCCTTCTTGTAAAAATTGTCACGTTGTAATTAAATGTTCATAAATCAATTAAGAAGTTACCCACCAGTATTACTAATACTGTGTGTACTTTTGTTAAATAAAGAAATTTTGTTTTTGTATGTTTATACTAAAGTAACAATTTAGCCTTTGGAAGATATTTATAAAAACTTCATTTCTAAGAACTTTCTGTTTCTGTTCTGTTCAGAAAAAAATACTTGCATCATCATCAAAGCACCCATAGCATCATTGTGATCAAATCCTAAATATCGCACCATAGTGTTTTCAATTGAATCACAAAATAGCCAAGTTGAGTAGCATGTCTTGTCTCATTAAGTTTCTTAAATAGCCAGGGGCGGATCAAGAGGGGTTCAAAGGGTGCTCCAGCATTCGTCAACTTTCAACACGTAAAGTTTCCTATTTCGTTGCATTTTTTTATAAATAAAAATTGAATTGTTAAAATAGTTTATTCAACTTAAAATTTGCGATTTCATTTTTTGTGAAGGAAGTCAAAAATAAATAAACAATTATCTTTGTTGTTGTGTAGTTGCGTTCAGCGCTAGCGTATTTTATATATATTTGTGCTTCGATTAGGAAACTCCCGTATAGTATAGCTTTTTGATTCGCCTGCTCTCCTCAGAATTATTTTTAATTGGCCTGCATCCCTCAGAAGCTATTTTTGATTGGCTTGGTTTCTTAAGCTAATCAATACAGATTCTGAGGGGTGCTGACCCAATTAGAAAGATCTCTGAAGGGTGCAAGCCAATCACGCAAAAATCAGAAAAAAGGTTTTTCACTAAGCTTTTTGTTAACTCGTAGGTTAAGTGTTCTAAACATGGCGGATTCAATGCTTCAAATCACTTTAAAATGTATTTTAGATGAAAATAGGGTTCAATCAGAAAAGGAATCGTTTTTATCTAATGTTATTGTCGAAGCTCATAATAAGATTAGAGAAATATTTTTGTTTAATGAAAAATCTAAAGTAAGTATATTGAATAAAATATGCAAAGTTTCAAGTATGCAGTTTCTCAATCATTTCGAGCAGAGAGTGATTTTCAACCAGTGAGGTAATAATTTGTTTCTTAAATAATTATAATAAATTAAAAATAAATAAAAAAAAACGAAGTATTTATGTATGTGTGTGTGTTGTGTTGATTAATGGTTAAAATAATAGCAAATTAAGAAATCATGTATAGCCGGCCGGCTATACATTTCTTAATTTGCTATTATTTTAACCATTAATCAACACAAAACACACACACACATATATATCATGTATATATATATATCTCATATATCATGTATAAGCTAGCCTATACATGATTTCTTAATTTGCTATTATTTTAACCATTAATCAACACAACACACATATTTTGTATAGCCTATACACACACACATTTTGTATAGCCTATAGTATAGGCTATACAAAAAGCTATACTATAGCTTTTTGTACCTTACAATTTACTACAAGCTTTTTTATTTAAGCTGTAAGATGTGTAAAATTTTGTTCTAGGTGCTTAAATTTAAAAAACTTTTTTTAGTAAAATTGTGTTCATGCTTAAGTATATATACTTAAGCATGAACGCAATTTTACTAAAAAAAAGTATATAATATATTTATATCATATTTCAAGGAGAAAATAATCAATTATGTTATAATTTATTTTATGCTTGAATAATACCAAAATTACATTTAGTAAATCATTTACTAGTAAGTTATTTTTTGATATAAAATTATGTAATAATTATTTTGTGTCATAACATAAATTATGTTGCTTAGCTTATATTAATTTTTTTTTTTTTATTAGAACTTCTCCAAACGGAAACTGTTTATTTAATGCTTGTTCTATATCATTAATTGGCAACGAATCTTTGTCAGAATACCTTAGATGCCTGACCAGTATCGAATTATATACAAATGTAGGTTTTTCTTCAAACCATCCAATTATTTTTTCTCAAACTGATGTTACCAAATCTGGAAGAATTGATGAAAACACAGCTTTTTTTATTATTATTTCCCAAAAAGCATATAACTCTTTTTGTAAAAATAATAGAACACTAAGTATTGTATCAGAATCTATCAATATTGCAACAAATTATTCTTATTCCTTGTTTCTTACTTTGTGTGTTCTCTCAAGTGTTGTTGGAATACCAATTGAATCATATTATCCTATAGAAAAGGATAGAAAAGAAATAGAAAAAACTGCTTATGAAATATTTTTCAATTGTACTGTTAGACCACGTGTTGAACAAGCACATCTGTAAAAAAAAATACACATTCTTTGTTGCTCTTCAGTTATTGCAGGTTTTAAACAGACCTCTAATATATTTGAAAACAAAGATCACTTTGTTCCTTTAATATCTTTAAAATGTATTCCTAAAAAATACCAAGTTCCTAATATTTTTGCACCTAAAGTAGTAAAATTACCTGAAATTAATCAACTTACTTCTTCGAAATCTAGTATCCTGTTTCCTGACTCTACTCAGGAAACAGATATTTTAGATCCAGTTAAAATTCTTTCCACTTTTAAAAAAAGAAAACAACTCACAATTGATCAATTTACTATTAAGTCACCTTTTCCTACAGACAAAAAAGTTTGTGTTGAATCTTCGCCAATCAAATTAAAAAGTTCTTCCACATTATCGATTGCAGAATGTTCTTCAAAAAATATCCATTCACCCAGTAAGGCAAATTTAAACTCTAAAAGTAGTTCTTCTGCTTTTGTAAATAAATGTGAACTATCTTTTGTAAACAAATACAATATCGGGCTCTATGAAACTTATGGAATTAATAAACTAGGCAATGAAGATAAGTATGATTTACTAAAAAATGTTAATAAACCAAGCTCTAGTTTTCATTTTGAATCCAATAAATCAGATCGTTCCTTTCAATTCTCTTGGCTCTCATTATACTCTTGGCTTGCATATTTAGAAATTAATAAAAGTGCTTATTGTGTTAATTTTGTTATTTTTGGATCTGAAGAATCAAGTCATAATGCAAGTAAACTTGTTCAGCTTTATAAATCTCTATTTGTGGCATATTCAAAGGCCATTAATAATTTTAATAAACATGCTGAAAGTTCACCAATTTACCAAACTGCAACTCTAAAGGCAACTCATTTTCGCCAATGTATGGAGTAAAAGATAAATTTTATTGACTTAAATCTCAACAGAGTAATTGATGAACAAGTCAAGAAAAATAGAGAAATATTAAAACCAATAGTTCTGATAATTATTATGTGTGGAAAACAAAACATACCTCTCCGAGATCACAGAGATGATTCATTTTACTATGAGAATGAAAATAGTAACTCTGGCAATCTTCAATCAATTTTGAAATTAATATCTGATTGTGCAGAAAACAGTTTAGTGAATCGGCGAATTGCTACTCCAAAAAATGCTACATATCGCTCTAAAACTACTCAAAATGAATTGATTAATATTTGTAATGACATTATAGTTGAAATGTGAAATTAAAAAAGATAAATTTTTTTCAATATTAGCAGATGAAGCATTTGATGCAATATGGAACAAATCCCACTTGTATTACACTTTGTAAATGATAATTGTGAAATTTGTGAACTATTTTTTGGCTTTATTCCTTGCTACTCAGGCTTGTCTGGAGAAGCTATAGCCAGCCAAATTTTGAATAGTATTAAAGATTTGGGATTAGAAATGAAATTTTGTGTTAGTCAAGATTTATGACAGTGCTGGTAACATGGCTGGGAACTGTTCCGGTGCTGTTGTAAGAATAAAAACTATTTATCCAAAAGCATTGTATGTTTATTGTGGGTCTCATGTCCTCAATCTTTGTGTTGCAAATGCCTGTAACATACAAATAGTTAGCAATATGATGTCAAATGTTTGTGTTATATCTCAGTTCTTTAATTTTAGTCCAAAGCATTTTGATGTTCTGAAAAAAAAAAAAAGAAGAATTGTTTCCAAAAGCTCATCACTCTCGTCTAATAGATGTATGTCGTACAAGATGGATTGCCAGAATTGATGGTTTAGACGTGTTTATAGAGGTACTTCCTGCTATAATTAAATGCTTTGAGCTAATGATTAATAACGATGAAAAGTCTTTGAATCATGACTCGTGATGCAAATAGTTATTTTTTTGCTACTAGATCTTTCCAGTTTCTTGTTACTTTAGTAGTGGTGTCTCGCTGTTTGGAAGTAACAAGACCAATTACAATCTCCAAGAACAATTTCAAACTTTGATGTTTTTGCATCGCATGAAAAAGTAAATTTGTTACATCTTGCTTTACAGCGACTAAGATCAGACATTGAACACAGTCATGGTACTTGGTATAGTGAGGCAGTTGTATTGGCAGCTAGTGTTGGTGTTTATGAGCACAAGCCTCGTACAATAGGAAAACAGCTTAATCGAAATAATTGTCCTAGTGAATCTATTAATGAATATTACAAGAAAGTTATTACAATTCTTTTTCTTGACCATTTATCTTCCCAGATTCAATTACGTTTTTCTAATAGAAACATTGCTGTTTATAATGGATTCTTTGCAATGCCAACTAACGTTTTAAATGTTGCTGAATGGAGAAGCAACTTTCTTCTTTTTTTTAATGAGTATGAGGATGAACTTCCGGAACCACGGTATATCATCATCAAATTGAACATGTGGGAAGATAATTGGCGTAGTTTTAAAAATTCCCTTCCAACTACTCTAACCAAACTCCTTCCTCTTATTGATAGAATAATGTTTCCTAATATATTTACCTTTATTCAAATTCTTGCAACTATTCCAGTAACAACATGCACTTGCGAAAAATCTATCTCTGTTATTCGTCGTTTAAAAACCTATCTACGTAACACAATGTCACAGATTTAACAGTCTTGCTTTAATGCACGTTCACCAAGATATCAGCCATTGATGTGAATGAAAAGATTGATTGTTTTGCTAGGAAGAATCCATGTGGAATAAAACTTGTAGATATTTTAAATTCTGATCCAATTTAAACTGTTTTATTTAATAATATAATATAAATATATTATTTACTGTTTTATATATTTTATAGAGTAATTTAAATAGTGGTCCTAGAAAGATCTGCAGTTTTTTTTTTTTTTTTTTTTTTTTTTTTTGTATTTTTTAAGCATGAAATTATACTTCAAAAAATATATACATTAGAACCTTGTTAAGTCTGATTCTCAAGGGGAATAAATAAATAGTCATACATGGTGAATGTCAGAGTTAGGGGAAGCTCTCGGTATGTATTGAAAGTTCAATGGGAATTGAAAATCTGACTTAGTAGGGTAAACTGGGGTAAAGTGAACTGTTTTTGGTATCTAAAGGAAATATTTTCAAAATAAAAGCCAAAACATTTTGCAGTTTTCAAAATTTATACCATTTAAAGTATTAGGTACAATATAAAACAAAATACTAAGATTAAAAGCTACTTTTACAATATTAAATATATATTCAAAAAAAACATGTCCACTAGTTCACTTTACCCCCACATTGGGGTAAAGTGAACTACTTCATCTTTAACTCTTTTGTGTTTGTTATTTCTAATAAATTAGTTTTTTTATTTTGTATTTTGCCTTGCTGCTTGATCTTTCTTTTAAAGCATTCGTTTTCTTCATCATTTAATCTTTTAAATGCATCTTCTGATGTAAGACACTCACCTCCATAGTGTCTTTTTATTTTTTTTGTAGGTCGTTTGTTGTATGAACGACCATCACCCTTTGTGGCCATTAACTGTTCTTTCACTATTTCTCTAATGATTTTATTTCCAGTAGAACAATCTACCTTTGATATTGATAGTTGATTTATTTTTTCATTGTTTAAGTCTTTTCCTACTGATATTATAGTTTTTTGTGAATTGTATTTATTTGTTGATTCAATAGAAAAATTTTCACAAGTATCGTTCTGATCATTGACATTGGTGTCTAAAACGATGTTTTGAGGGACGTTATTATTATAGTTATTTGTTTTCTGAGAAAAAGGGTGTTCATAGATTTCAGAAGGATTTAACTTGTCAGATGCTATAGCAGATGGATCAAAGGGAAAAATTCCAGTTTTGGCAAAGGATTGTACTAAATGAGCTGGCTTAAAGGAGGTATCATAAAGTTTTTTTAATAAAGATGGAAAAACAGATTTCCCAACCACCTTCAGCCTTGACTCGGTATACCAATTGGCCAGAATTTCACGCCATACATGTTTAACTTGGCGAAAGACTCCTACATCAAGTGGCTGAAGCAAATGCGAACAGTGTGCTGGCAAACACAAAATAGTTATATGATTTTCAACTGCTTTTTTAACAGTTTCTAAAGAAATATGACTAATGTGACCATCAAAGATAAGCAAAACAGGCTTGGGTGTGTCTTTCAACCATAAAACAAGATGGTTAAAGTATTCAGTGAAAACTTCTGTTTCCATCCAACCGTTTTTTGTCACCCCATATAAGGAACCATTTGGTCCACCAGTCATCCACTCTTTATACAAATTCTTCCCAGCAAATAAAATAAATGGAGGAAAATTTCTTCCTGCAGCTGATATTGTTGCTAGTACAGTAAACTGTTCTTTTCCTGATCCAGGAGCAATAGATACAGGGTTTTTAATACCTCTTTTGCAAATAATTTTTTTATTTATTGGGTTAGTGCAAAACCCACTTTCATCGCAGTTTAGTATTTGGGCAGGTCTATTCATAATGTCACATTTTTCCAATGTTGCTTTAAGTAATAAAAACCAAGCATCAATTACAGTTTTATTACAAGCTAAGGCTCTTGTTAATGTCAAAAGCTCTGGAGTTCTTATAGATATTTCTTTCTGCCAACGATTTAAAAAATTACAAAACCACTGATCACCAGCAACACCATTAACAAATTTTTTCTGAAATCCGTTTAATTCAATATACGTTTGAACAAGTTTCATAAATTGTTTTTTATCTAATCCAAATCCAAAATCAGAAAATGCAGATAAAAGTGAAACAAGATCTTTTTCAGCATCAGCAGATAATCGGTTTGGTCGCCCTTCACCAACTTTTGAGCATTTTATGCCTAGAAGATGTCTTGCAATTGTACTTCTTGGAACACCATATTCTTTTGATGCAGCATACGAAGTCATTTCTTTATTTTTAACTTTCGAAATGGCATTTTGCAACAAATTAGGTGCATATGTTTTTCTTCGAGATTCTTTTTTCTTAATGTAGTTTCTTGGCATTATTTCAATATATTATATTTCTGAAAATAATTTTAAGAATATTTAAAAAAAAAACAACTTATTTTAAGAGTAAACAATTTAGTTAAGTAATTACAATTTATATATTCAGTTCTACTAAAAATATTTGATGAAAAAACATAAGAAAAAGACTAGTTCACTTTACCCCCAATAGGCAGAAAAATAAGGGGTAAAGTGAACTAAATTGATTTACAAACTAAAAGCTTAGCTTTTTTATATTATGATAAAAACTACAATTTTTTTTTAACAGCATTATATTATCTTTAAAATGTATATAAATTATATAACTGATGTTCGCATTAATAACAACAAATCATGAATTTACTAAAACCCATAGCAAAGTTTGAGATCGTAATTTTAAAACTTCCGCCAAACTCGCTTTTTAAAATGGCTATTACATCAAAACAAAGGCTATATTTTATTAATTTTTTTATTTAAAAAATTTCAAAATGTTGTATTAAGCAAAAATAATGCTAAATTACTTAACAAAAAGTTTTTTAAACATGATAACTTTTTAGTTTAAAAAAATAGTTCACTTTACCCCTAGTTCACTTTACCCCAGTTTACCCTAAAAGTTTAATTTATCAGACATAATTATAAAGTTTTCATTATTAATAAATTAGCATTATTGATAGTTATAATTATAGTTTAATTATAATTTAAGTTAAATTATAACTTTATCTAAAAATAAGTCTGTTATTACATTTTTATTTATATTTTTGGGGAATATCCTTGAAAAATAAATGGCTCCAGAATATCATAATTTTGTTACATAATTTTGTTTATAAAAATTGTTATATAATGTTATTAAATCTGTTCACTATTATTGATGTATTTAGTGTAAAAGTTTATTATTATTGTTATTATTGTTATTACAATTTATAAATAATTATTGTGTATAATTATATATTTTAAGTATATTATGTGCATAAATTTATTATATCATAGTATTAATAATTATTTTAAATAGTGAGTTGTAATACAATTGTGTTATAATTGCAATATAATGTGCATGACGCAGGTGTTTTTAGAAGTTAAACTAGATGGTTACTTTATATATTTTCAAGTTTCTGTTTAAAGATCATATTAGAAGCAAATTTTGAGTTCCATTGAAACTAGATTTTTATTAACAGTTTTTTTTTTTATCAGTTCTTCATTTTGTAACTATTTTACTCTTTTATTTTAGTTTTCCTTCTGTTAAAATATGGTTTTAATTTAGTAAAGTTTCATGATTTGAAATTTACTTTATCGGTCATAAGCTAACAGTTAAGAAAAAGAAATTTAGCACAGTTAGGGTAAAAAATTTGTTTACTTTAACATTTCAAAACTGGGTTTTACTGTTCAATTCTTATGCTATTCCTAGTTTATGTTATATGTCATACGAATAATAAATAAATTGTGTGTTCATTGTTTGGGGTCATGAAATTATTGTATCATTATTGATTGATTCTTGGTATAACGGTCGATCACTGCCAATATATAGTTGCTGCATTACTTTGCATACAAAATATTTTTATGTACACAAAATTACTTTCGCACTGTACTCTTGCCTGCCGAATAAACTAATAAATAGGAAATTTTTTTAAAATCTAATAAACGGGGGGGGGGGGGGGGGGATTCTTAATAAACCGAAGGGTCGGAGTTTCAAAAAGTTTAAAATAATTTTTTTGGTTGGTTGTTCATATTTTCATCTATTATTGAGTGAAATATATTTCTCAAAGTAAAAAAATAGCAAAAATATTTTAAATTGTTTCAAAATTGTTAATCGGGGGGGGGGGGGGGGTCCTAATAGGCTCCGGGGGGTCGGAAAAAAATTAATTAACATCTCTTCCCGTTTATTCGGTAGGCGAGAGTAATTATTTTTATTATCATTTTTATTAGTGGTAATCCTGCTATTGAGTTGTTATTAATATAAAAGTTGATTACTGCTAATAAAATAAAGTCGCTGCATTATTTTGCATACAAATTATTATTATGGATATAAAATTGATTTGTTTATAAGAATTGTAACCTTTCTGATCTGACTATTTAATCAAAATACGGGCAATTTAAAGGGTATAAAAAGACAGGCAGACAGGTAAAAGACCCAGAGGGTTATAGCCTTTTCATTTGTTAAAAAAGTTCATGAAAAATATAGTCTAACTACGTACGTATTCGATGCCGTGAACACCTCTTAAACAAACTTGTACGCTTTTGGGTGACCCGCCTCCCCCGTACTATATAAAAACCTTTTTTATGACCACCCATTTTTATACAACGCAAAGCCCAGGGAAGGGGGTTAATGAAACCCCCCCCCCCCTCATCGTCGCAGCACAGCACATATTTGCCAGCACCCCTCCAAAAAAAAGCTAGATCCGCCCCTGGTAGGTTTCTATTATATATATTTTTCAGATATGATCTATAGCTGAATTCACAGGTAGGATTGAATTAAGCAGTTTGGTTACATAAATAAAACTTTTCCGAAAATTTAATAGAAATTGTTGCATTAATTCCTTTTGAGACTTTGCTGATGTAAAATTAACAATTATATCGTCAAATCTTGATGATCATAGCACTTCATACTCAAGGGCAAGGCCGGCGAGATAGAGGGATGTGAGGGGGAGGGGTGACACTCCCCCCAATCAATGATTTTTAGTCGGCAAATTTGACCCTTAGTCGGCAAATTTGACCCTTTTTGACTAGTTAGTCGGCAAATGTAAACCCTGTCAATAGATTAGTCGGTTGATTTAGACAGTCAGTCGGCAAATGTCGTCATTGCAGTCGGCAAATTTTCAAAAACGAGAACTTTTTTTTTTTTTTTTTTTCTTTAGTCGGCAAAAGTTGTAATGGCACCCCCCACGTGACACCTACTCGCCCCGGCCCTGCT